CGACGCTCTACTGTACAAAATCAGCCGCTATTCCGGAAAAACTACGCTGCTCCCGCTCGGGCATAAGTCCTTATTCCGGAACACTGTTCCGGAAAAGGGCCAGTGTAGACAGCCCAGTAGTCTTTTCTGGAAAAAAGCCCCGATCGCGAAAATGACGATCGGGGCTCTTTTCCGGAAAAGCGCGTCTACATTAGCCACAGATGCTTTTCCGGAAAAAGGGCATTTCCGGAAAAGCATCTGTGGCCAATGTAGATGCTCTTTTCCGGAAATACTTATAACGAAAACTATTCTGTTTTAAGCATTTCCGGAAATTCATGCCAGTGTAGACACAGCCAAGGAAAAAAATTATGTAGCACTTTAAAGACTAACAAAGATAGTTTATTAGGTGATGAGCTTTCTTGGGGCAGACCCACTTCTTCAGATCATATGCTGAAAGTGAGTTGGCATGACCATATATAACAAAGGAATACAAATCAGCTACTAGAACAGAAGGTGGAGGCGAGGGACAAGGAAGAAACAAGGAAGGAGGAAATAGCTTATTGTAAATCAATAAATGGCTAATCTAGAGTTACTACAAATATCAAAAGGTGAGGAAGCTGTCTTTGTAATGTGTTTCCGTTTTCCATTAAAAGCATTTGCGGAAAAGAGCGTCTAGATTGGCACGGATGCTGCTATACATACTTCTCCATGGTGAGCAAATGGCATTCAACAAGGTAGTTAGGCCCCACGCAAACACCCACCTAGCATTAGCTATCTCCAGCCTGGAGCTTGAAAACCTACTTTATGCTCCTAGGCTACGTCTACACTGGCCCCTTTTCCGGAAGGGGCATGTTAATTTCAGAGATCGTAATAGGGAAATCCGCGGGGGATTTAAATATCCCCCGCGGCATTTAAATAAAAATGTCCGCCGCTTTTTTCCGGCTTTTAGAAAAGCCGGAAAAGAGCGTCTACACTGGCCCCGTTCCTCCGGAAAAAGTGCCCTTTTCCGGAGGATCTTAAAGTAGGAATAAGATCCTCCGGAAAAGGGCGCTTTTTCCGGAGGATCGGGGCCAGTGTAGACGCTCTTTTCCGGCTTTTCTAAAAGCCGGAAAAAAGCGGCGGACATTTTTATTTAAATGCCGCGGGGGATATTTAAATCCCCCGCGGATTTCCCTATTACGATCTCTGAAATTAACATGCCCCTTCCGGAAAAGGGGCCAATGTAGACGAGCCCCTAGGGTGGGGGTTAGGAGAGAAAGGGCTAAAGCAGCCATCTTCCA